AATACCATCCGTCCGGTTTTCTGAGCTAGAAGTGCACCAGTCATATAGGTGTCCCACCTCCTGGAACGCTCCATGTTCAAGATCAATCAGTGTCGTGAATCTATCTCTCCTCTCCCCTCACTGCTCCTCTTCTAGCTCGGTCCCTTGCTTTTGTCCACTGCACCTGGCAGTAGTTTCCTCACTGTCTCTAGTCTCTGGTCTTTACTCCTTAAAATCATCAAGAAATCTGTTCAAGAAGATGCAACTCTGAAGCTTTCAGCTGGGAATTCCCAGAGGTTTCTTGTCATGTACACTGTGCAGGGTGAAGTCAATGCCTGGCATGACATTTAAGATGTCTGTGACCCAGTATTGACCCTTCTTCCAAACCGTATCCTGGTTACTTCCTACCTCACACGTGGTAATAAATGGACACACACAGAGCTGTTTTGTTCCTCTGGTGGAAAGGTCTTCCCCACCTTTTTCCTTGCTAGCTCCCTTTCCTGTCCATAGACTTACCTTCAGTGTTGCCTTCTCCAAGAAGTTTTCCTTACATCCAACATTGGGCTAAATCATCCAGTTCTACTCCTCTGTGCTTGCCGCTCGCTGTTGAAAGTATCTGTGTGTCTCCCATCCTGGCTACCAGCTTGTCTAGGGACAATGAAGTTCACATTGGCCGCCACACAGAGTAGATCCTCAACAGATGCCTGTGGAAGCAAGATGGACTCTTTTTGTCCGTTCTCTCATCCTGTCAATGGCTCAGGGTTACAGACATGAATTTTAGTCAACACAAACCTTACTCTAATGTTTGCTACAGAAGGATGCTCCAAATAGGTGTAACTAAGTGAGAGGTAAGAAGCAACAGGGGCTACAACTGAAGGCTGGACTGGCATTTTCCTAAGGCAAATGGCTTAAGGGAAGGGTCTCAAACCTCACTGAAATGTTTCCTATCTTGGTGCATGGAAACACCTGACCAGTTATAAAATATACTGCGGGATTTAGTTGTGAGCTATTTCTCCATGCTGGCATCCACAAACTCACAAATGTCCTATAGAACTTATAAAATGTAAATAAAGAAATTAAATTGTAAGAATAGATATGGATAATGAGAGAACATAAAGGTGTTTATAAAGTCTGGAGACAAAATATTATTTTATTTTTGATTACAGGTTGAAGATTCCCTTAATGATGTTTTGTGTGGATTCACCTGTTTGCAGACTTTAACATTCACTTTGTTTGCGTACAGAGAACTCATCAAAGCTATTTGTAGTATATATCAGTATCATTGAGAGTTACTGAAACTTTGATCCGCATTATAAAATTGGACTCGTAGCACTACAAAATCAGCAATATATGGTTTTGACAAATGCCAGGTAAAAAAATGTAAAGATTTGATTTTATTATGGAACCCAAGCTCCCAAACTAAGGGAAGAAAACACTGTGCATCTCAGCAGCTCTTCTTGCTTCTATTGCACACACATTACACACGGTTTGGAGGTAGCACTCCAAAATATTAGCTGAAAGCTTCCTCGGAAAGCAAATCTTTCCCACATCCTTCCCTGCAGTTCCTCTTTAAGAGGTGTCAGCATGGCTGAAAGAATGAAGTGGCTGCATATTGTTCTGTAGTGCTATTATGTGCTTAACATTTCCATGACAAAAGTGCCACTCGACTTCTCCCCGATTAATGCAGCTCGAGGGCTCTTGTCGTCCTTTAATAAAACATTGTTGAAATCATTTATTTAGAGCCCCTGGTTACTAGTGGGAGAATGACCATCTTTGTGCCAAAATATAGTGTATACAGTCCACTATTTTGTAGTAGATCATTCTGTGATTTAAGAAATTGATTAAATGGGTGTCTTAGAAGGTATTTATGCTAATAGCACATTACTTATGTCATTCAGACAGTCAAGGGTGAACCTCTTCAACTGTCCAGTGAAGGCAAGCCCTCATACGGAATACAGTAACATCCAACTCCACTTGACTCACCAGACTGTGATACCCACCGAAACCCAGGCATTTGTAACATGACGTTTCTCAACCACCTTGCTTTGGGAGAAACCAGGTCAACTGACAAGTATTTCTGATGTTCCTTGGTATAAAAGGTCAAAGAAAATAATAATGCCTGCTCTTCTTTTAATAGGCTTGACAGGGTTATATGAGGTTATGTTTGAGAACTTCCATAGTTGAACCCACTAAGTAGGCTAATAATGCAAAGCCAAAGTTTAAAGTAGAAAGATTTTCAAATGTGGTGTTTTATGGCTCTGAAAGTTCTCATGGCCTTTCCCCTCCTCTCTTTCTGTACTACGTAGCATTGCTGGGATGGAGTGGGGCTGGAGTGCAGGGAGTGGTGAGGAAGGAACTCCCATTCCGTACTGTGTCTCTGGACTCTTCAAAGGAGGGAGACTGCTGGGTCTGAGTCTCGTCTTCCCCTACATGGGGGCGCTGCCATACACCCCAGACCTGTCAAAGCGCCGTGGCCCCTTTAGTTTGTGGAGGTGGATGTCAGGAGCTGCTTCCTTACTTTTGGACATTTGTAGGGGTCCTGTCCAAGCAAAGGGAGGCCTGTGACTTAGTACAAGAATTTAGTTCCCTCCAGGCATTTTTCCTTTTTACATATGAACATCACCCACATACATTGCTATATATCATTACAACTAAACAAGAGAGCTTACGTCCATTGTGGTCATATACAAAAGCATTGCTATGTGCTTGGGTGAACAGTGAAGGCTGAACTTCCTTCTATTTACTGTATGGTCACTGTCAGTTCAATGAACTGCCTCCTTGTTCTCCACCATTGTCCCCCACTCCCTTAAACGTTTGTCACTGAAGTGCCTTCAAAGACAAATAAACCGTCACTGAGGAGGCAAACCAGCTAACTGGGAAAATGAGGATGACCGCAAAGACCCATGATTTTACATGAAATGTAGAAGGAATTGCTTGCTCTCACCCCAGAATATTTCTGTGGGAAGCATGGCGCTTTTTGAGAAACCCCAGGAAAAGCCAGAGATACTTTTTCTTTCAGTAATGATACTTCCAGGCATTCTCCATCTCAAATGTCCAAAATTCCAAAAGGCTCCCCAGAGAGCGTGAGATATTACAGATGTCAACATCTGTAAAAATCCTTTCTGCTTAGGAGCAGATGGCAGCCTACAATCCCACAACCAAAGCTGAAGGTCCTAACATCTCAGCAACCTGCTCAGAATCCACAGGGTCTGCGGAGGCAAAAGGAGACTCCTGGGCTCCAGCGTCGAACTGTTTAAATTGAAATGGACCACCGATCAATGTTCACTTTCTTCAAGGAAGAAAAGCATAAAGCCTGTGTCTTCTCTCCCCAAGAGCTAGCTGTGTTGATTTATTCCAGGCAGATGCTTTTGACAGGACCCTGTAAAATCAAGTTGTGAGTTTATTGTGGCAGTTAATTATCAGGCCTTTTCTAGTGCTAATGCTTTTTACTTCTTACTGGAGAAAACTGGGCCTTTTACTGGGACAAAGACTTAACTTTTAGTCAAGAATGTGTTAAAATAACATGAAATGGAGATGATTTAAATATATTTAAGGGCAAGCACAGGAGTGTTGCTAACTTGACGTTTTGTAAAGAAAGCTGATTTCATTTACAAGTCTTTTGGAATACCCTTTGTTCATTTTCCAAAGAAACAAAGCTTTCAGCTTTGTTTTAACAATATGTTTACTCAACCATTCAGGTGACCCGGTTCCAGCCACACACCACTCTCCTAGGCTTCTCCGAAACTACAACTAAGACTTTCTGATGTTCCACACATATGAATCTCTTGGCTTTAGATGCAACAAGAAGCACCTAGAAGCCCTCTATAAAAGCTAGGAAAAGAGCCACTTAAAGGAAAAGAAACCTTGAAAGTAGCCAGTGGGAGTGGGTGGGAGGAAGTTGGGAGGGGGCATAGCTTTGTTAATTACTTCAGGCAGCAGAGAAATCTGGTTATGTTTTCTCAGCACATGTTAATATCATATAAAGAGACACGAGATCTTGCTAATCTGTGGACCCCTCAGACAAAGTTTATTTGTGGTGACTTTTAAACTCCTGACTTGCCTTCCAATCACTGCGTTTAAAATGAAAAGCTTTAAATAAACACCAGGAATAGAAGATAAATAAACTTTTTTTCCCCCTTGCAAGTGCCTAGCTTGGCGAAGTTCAGACTCAAATCCCCAGAGGACAGAGCGCTCTCTTTTGTGTTAATGTTTAAAAGATTTTCCAATGCCGGAGTTTATTCCTACTGCAAACATTTCTATTTACAAGGTCAAGTGTATCAGCACTCGACACAGCTTAAGAGTGTAATTATTTATCTAAGGGCGTTTGAGTGTAGATCAGTAGCTCTGGGCAGGAACCCAGCCTTCAGCCCACTGCTAAACAACTCCTCACAACAATATTACAAGTTCTGGTAATTGTTCCTCTCCCCAGTGTGTTTACTTTCCCTCGCCTGAATGTTTTGTAACAAAATTTTGTACTTTTTCACCCAAAGTGTGAAAGTGACTTTGAAGTATTAAGTCTCACAGGTTTCCTAAGACCTATTGGTAACAGATGTTATTGGCATGTTTGATTGCATGAGAATGTCTAGTAGCCACTAAAGACACTCCTGGAAGAAGGGGTGGGGCTGGGGGGGTGTCCCGGTGGAAATGGTAGAGATGTCTGGGTTATCCCAAATTATGTAGGAGACACAATTTTGTGAATTCTCTTCACCAACATAAAAACCAGTGGAGGCCAAACAATTATATCTTTTTAGCTGCCTCATTTACAGATGTCTAATTGTTCATTAAATTAAAGGCATAAATAATAGCCCTCATTTGTCTTATACTGTATTTTAATTTCAGTTGATGGTTGATAGATTCCCAGTGGCCCCTCCGCCTCCCTCCTCACCCATTATTGGGTTAACCACAATGTAACTCTGGAAAGTAACTACACCATATTCATTATTTAAAACTCTTTACTGATGTACACATTTTAATAAAAACAAATAATAAAAAAAGAATGAAAGAAATACACAAAGCCATAGTTACTTAAAACATAAGACTTTTTTTTAAAGATGTCTATAAAAATACGTTTAAGGCAGTTTGGAAATGCATTTATACATTTCTACAATGTCCATAAATTCTCTTGAAAATAAGAATGTTAACTTCGAATCTATAAAATACACTGTACATTTCAAGGCTGTTCTAGACAGAGCACACTTTACAGCGGCTGTGGGTTTGGATCCCTGATGACAGTTTCTATACATTTCAGGGAGAAGAGGTGTAACATGAATGTGGATTTAAAGTTTTTAATTTCTTTTTAAAAATAAATTATTTCTGAAGCATACAATTTATAAAAATTCTATATACAAAGTACAGCAACTGGTAACAAACCCCAGTTTTAATACAATTTATATAAGAAGTACCAGGGTTTAGCACCCTGATAGAAGCAGAAGCAATATACGTTCTCTGCATATTTGTACATACAATTTCTTGATGTAAAGAACAGAAATGACAACAAAACAATCATAAAGAGGTTTTCATAGACGCAGTGCAGAGCTCACTTAATACAAACTTGCATTTTCAGTATCACTAGTAACTCTTTAGATCAGCATTTTTTTATCCTTAATCCTAAGAAATGTACTAAGAGATCAGAGTGGTGAGAATGAAATTAAGGTCAAAGGCTCAAAGTTATCTAAAACTAATTCGGGGGTACTAACCTCTTCCCATTCCTACCCCAAACTGAGAATTCAGGGCGCTGGTACCAAAACCAAGGAACCAGTTGATAAGCTAATGAACCAATAAATGAGACTTTTCTTATTACTGACGACTGCAATGTCCTTACTGGCCACAATAAAAGTAGATACCGGCTCCTTCCCAACCCCCCCCCCCCAAATGCTCATAAACTGACAGCCCCTTTTGCAAATATAAACCCCCCTCAAACCCCTTGCTCTGAGCCCAGTCCCTTGAAAAATGCTAAGGCCCCACTGCTCAGCACACTCTTTGGAGTCCAGGACTACATTTCTGCTCGCCCTCACCCTGCCCCGCCGCCCATTCCATGCCAGGCGTCCAGAACTTTAGCTAGGCTAGTTTCTGCAGGGCAGATGTGTTGGGAGTTTCTGGAGCCTGAAATGGGGCCAGGGAAGGATGTCCAAGAAGTCATGCTCAGGAGCGGAGACGAGCAAAGTGCCAAAGTTGTGGCGGGGAGACTGGCTAAGTACAGTCAACTTTGAAAACGTTTTGGCAAGTATTCCCTATTCATCCCCTCTGTCCTCTCTGTCCCCACAGGTGCCCTGGCACAGGCCCTCCCGCAGCCCATGTCGGAGGGCGCGAGGGCTAAAACAGCTGCGGGAGCAGCAGCAGCAGCAAGATGGAGGCGAACGGGGTCCAGGCACCTTGGGGAGCCAAGCGTCCACTGCCGTTGGTGCTCCTTCGCCCGGGCCCATAGGGCAGGTCCCCGTGGCCGCCCGCCGCAGCAGCGCCGCCACCCGGGCGCGGCTGGTGCGGGACGCCGTCGTCGTCGTCCAGCGGCTGCTCACCACCAGCGCCCCCGGCGCGCTGCTCATCGTCGTACTCCTCATCATAGTAGTCGTCCAGGCCCCCGTCCGAGCCGCTGCTGCCTGGGCCGTTACCCAGTTCCGCACCAAAGCACAGGCGGGCCATGTTCTCTTTGACCGATTCGCAGATGGGCCGCTCAAGGCCGTCGCACACGCAGTCGTTGAGCAGCGCTGCCTTGGGCACAGCTAGCATGTCCTCGATGACAGTGCGGCACTCATCTGTGCAACGCAGCCCATTGAAGAGCTTGCCGCAGTAAGTCAGGTAGCGGCTGAGCGCCAGATTGCAGCGGCTGTCGCGGTCGCAGCGCCGGCGGGCTTCGGTGCAACCCATGACCCCGCCCGCACCCGGGCCGCCCGCGCCGCCGCCGCTGGTCCGAGGCAGGCAAGGCTCAATGGCGCGCTTGGTGGACTTGCAGTTCTCGTCCTGCGCGCAGTCACAGTCCTCCAGAGCAGGCCCGCGGCGCGTGTGGTTGAGCTGAATAAGGGCCGAGATACAGTGGCTCGGACAGCGCCAGCGCGAGGAAAAGGAAGGGGCTGAGGCCGGGAAGGTGGCTGCAGCTCCGGGCGCGTCGCTCCCGCCACGCTGCGCCAGAACCGGCGCGCACGCCTCCGCGTACTGGTTGTAGGCGTAGCTGCACTCCGGCTCCCCCTGGCACTGGAGCAGCGCTTGCCAGCAGATGAGGCGGCGGCCGTGCGCCAGCCCGGAGCCCCGCGGCGCCGAGCCCAGCAGCTGCAGCAGCGCCATCAGGCACAGCCAGGCGCCCGGCACGGTCCCCCCGCGGGCCCCGCCGCCCAGCAGCCCTGCCACCATCGCGGGCAGCGGCGGCCGCCGGGCGAGGAGGGGAAAGGAAACGAGGTGCGGGGAGCGGCGTACACGGAGCCGGCGGAAAAGTTTGCCTCAGTCCTGCCAACTTCTTGCATGAGTGTTTTCATAAATCCATGCGCGCCCGCTGGCTGGTAGTCCGCTGCTTGCAGAAGGTCGGTCTGGCTCTGGCTGCCGTGGCTTCCTAGAAACGCACAGCCGCGAAGAACCCCTCCTGTCGGCCCCCGGTTGTGGCGGGAGGCGCTCACTGCCGCCCCGGTGGGCTGCGGGCCGCGGGGCCGCAGCGGCGCTGCAGGACCGCGGAGCGCCGCGGGTGCATTTTGCTCCGCGCCTGCAGATCCGTTGTGCGTCCGCAGCAGCTCCTTCCTCCCCGGCTCAGCGCCCCAGCGCTGCCGCTGCGGGCTCTAGCATCGCGCCGCTTCCTGGCTCAGGTCCGTGTGCTGCCCGCCTTCCCTCGGCCGGGCCGCCCGCGTCCCCTCCCCCTCCGCCCGCGGCGACCCCGGCCTCGGCCGAGCTCTGGGGAGCCCTTTCCGGGAGGCGCGGAGAGAACAAGAAATTCCGCGCGGTCAGAAAGCGGCTCCCGGGCTTCCCTCGCCGGCGGCTTCTCGGGTGACAAGGAGCCCGGGGAGCGGATCCGCTGAGCCCGGCTACGGACTCTCCAGCAGCGAGGCTTTAAATACAAAAGTGGGCCGGGAGCCCCCGCGTGGTGCCGCGGTGCCCCCTCATTATGCATGCATGGAAAAGCAAACAAACAAAAACATTAGCAACGCTCCTTCGGCTCACCGAGCCCCGGCCCCGCGCGCTCGGAGCCTGCCCGCTTTCTCCTTTCTCCACTCTTTCGCCCTTTGCTCGGCCCCCTTTCCCGGCTTTTCGAGATGCTATTGGTCCTGCCTGTTGTTGTTGAAACTTTTTTCCCCCGGAGCCGCTGGAGTGGGGTTGCAGAGTGGGGGAGGGCGGGGAGGTTGGTGGGCAGCTCACATTCAGGCATTCAGGGCTTGAAAGGAAGGGCTTAAGAAGCCTGACAGAGGCCCGGGAGCTCCTCCTACTCTTAAGGAGGCTCGGATATGGAGTCCCCAGCTCGCGCTCTTATACTGCGGGCTGGGTTTAGGGGCAGCTGTTGGCATCCGGCTGGGCCACAGCCCTTTTTGTTTGGTTCTTTTAAACTTTTTTTGGTTTTGGTAGTTGCAGTAATTCTGCCTGGATTCCATCTGTGCCTTCCACTGGGTTCCGAATTTGGTGTTTTTTTGAGTTCCACATCTTTGGATCCTGCTCATCACAGGCGGGAGGAGGTAATTACAGAATTTATAGGGGGACTTCTAAACTTTAAAAACAAAACAACAACAACAAACCGCACCCAAGGAAGAGGCACACACTTAAGTTGGGAGGTTTGGGGTATTGATGAAATACTTATAACACGCCCCCTACTCCAGCTCCCTGTCCCAATTTGCCAATCTGGCAGGTATGACCGTGGAGCCAGGCATCTGTTATCAGTTAAGACAAATCCAGTCAACTAAATTAATATTTTAGGAACATGTTACTAACATGATTGGCATTGAAAAAGAATCATAGCCTTAGAAATCTTTAGGGATGTTGATCAGTTCCGTCTGGCTGCAGTCACAACAGAGAGGAAGGGAATAAACTGGTTCTAAGGTTTCTATTCAAGTGTATGTTTCAATCCCTCACTAGGGTACAGCAGCCTCTGCCCTCTAGGCGCGGGAGTTCGAGATCTACCTTAACTGCGGCGCAACGCAGCCTTCGACCACCAGAGGCACCGGGCGTCTGCGGCCTGTCAAAAACTGGCGCTTTTTTTCCTCCCCTTTCCGTGGAGAGACTATCAACTCCATCTGTCACAAAAATTAAGGCTAAGTCTCCTCTCCAGAAGCAGAAGGAGCCGGGGCTCCAGCCCGCGCAGAGTTCGGCTGTCCTCCTCTCCCCGGAGGCCAAGTGGATTTGAAATGGCAAAAGTGAGAACAGGGCCACATCAGACGTACAGGCTGCAAAAAAAGCCTCCCGTTCCTGTAGAGGAGCTGCATTCCTCAGACGGGGTCTGCCTTAGGGAGCTGCACCTCTGCAATTCCCAAAACAATACAAAACAAAATAAACTTTAAAGGAACCTGAGGTAAAGCAGACCTCTTTGCCCCGACCTGAGTCACACAACACACACACATACACACAATCAATCTATATTTAAAAAAAAAAAAAGAAGAAGGAGAGAAAAGAAAGGCTACATCTGTGTGGCTATTTAAACAACCAGTTTCCAGGCGCTGGATTTTTGTTGTTGTGTTATATGCCAGAAGGGCTTGGACAAGTCCCACTCCTTCTCTGTAACTTGAGAACCACTGCTCTAGAGAATGGGGAATGGGGGTTGTTGTTGTTTGTAAAATATATCAGTTTTCAGATTTAAGGGACTCCAGAGAGCTTTGTGTGCTTCAGGGACACCTCAGCACCCCAATCTCAACATTTCAGACCTGCAGGGCTATCAGGGGCCTGATACAGGCGGAAGAAGGAGGCTATGATGAGGCAGGAGAGCCCTCTTCCCCATGAGTCCCAGAAACCGTGAGTACCACCTTGCTTCACATTCCAGGTTTGCGCTGGTAGCCACCAGACCTCCAAGCCATCCCTCATCACCCATACACTGATCCCCATATTACTTATGTACATCCTTTAAACTGACTTAATACCCATCCCCGCCTCCACCTGCCACTCCCTCCCCAAATTCTCTTCATCCAGGAACTCTCAATCTGCTCTCAGCAAAATCTCCGGGTTCTCTGTGTCTTCATCTTGTTTTTCTCTGTGTTCAAGTACTTCCATCTGAGGGGCTATGATGGCCAGATCCAGATGCTTGTGGGGTGGCCATTCTGCCAGGGCACATCCAGGTAGTGAATTTCCCAGCATGCTTTGGGCCAAGCTGTGGGAGGAAGAAGAAACTGTGCAGGGAGGGAAACTGGGCCCAGATGGCTTCTGGTTGCTTCTGCCCCTATTCCCTTTTCTGTGCTGATTGGTTTGTGGTTTCTGGACACACAGAAGTTTCAGGGAGTTTTAACAAAGCACAAGTAATTTTAGGAGGAGAGATGGACTGGGGGAGGATTGTGGAGGGAAGATTGGAGGGAAGGAAGTTCCCTGGGAAAGAACCAGGCCACAGTCCCCAGATATTTTAGGCATTTTGAGGGACTAGATTTCCCCTGAACCCCTCAGGGGCCCAGTGAGGCCCAGACATGACAACGGAGTTCTGAATGGTTGAGGCAGAGCCAGACTCCCCACACTTCCATATTAGTCCCTTCTCTTCCACCAGTACAGGGACCCCCACCAGGAGGCCCTCTCTGGGACCAGTCCCACCCATGGCCCTGGGAACAAGAGATAATGTGAAATACCAATTGTGGACCAAAGGCAATAGAAATCTTTTTAGGAAAAAAAAATCTTGCCTATCTTCAATCTCTTTCTGAGCTGGATCTCCACATTCTTGCTCTAACTAAAACCTGCTGAAACCTATTGAATGGGAGAGAAAATATTTGCAAACTACAGATCTGATGAGGGGTTAATATCTAAAACATATCCTTATATCCTAAGGAACTCATACAATGCAATAGCAATAAATAAATAAATAAATAAACAAACACACAAACTGATTTGAAAATGGACAGAGGGCTTGAGTAGACATTTTTTTCCAAAGAAGGCATACAATGGCTAACACACACATGAAAAGGTGCTAAACAGCATTAATCATCAAGGAAATGCCAGTCAAAGCCACACTGAAGTGATCACTACGTACCTGTTAGAATGGCTTTCATAAAAAAAAGATAACAAATGCTGGCGAGAATATGGAGAAGAGGGCACTCTGGTACACTGAGGGTGGGTCTATAAATTGGAACAGTTACTGTAAAACAGGATGGAGGTTTCTCAAAAAATTAATACAGAACTACCATAGCATTTAGTAATGCCACTTCTGGGTATGCATCCAAAAAGTTGAAATTACTATCTTGAAGAACTATGTACCCTGTTAATGTGCATTGCAGCATTATTCACATGGCCAAAATATGGAAATGTTAAGTGCCCATCAATGGACAAAAATAAATAAAATATTATACATACATACATACAATGGAACAGTATTCAGCTATAAAAAGAAGGCACCCTTGCCATTTGTATTAACATGGATGGCCCTTAGGTAAGATGGAGAATTTCTATGGAAGGAAGCCTCCCACAGCGGTGGTAGTTGGGGCAGCAGGTGGTGTCATCTGCTGCTTCTGCGTGTGGTACTGAGCCACAGTTCACTGTGGGCTGGCCAGACAGGCAGTTGAGAAGGAAAGCTTGGTCAACTGGAACCCATGAGGGTGAATTGGAATTTGTGTTTCCTTCAACACTGCGATCCTCAAATGCTACAGGGGTTGACCTATACCAAAAGCTGGTACCATTCACCATGAAGCTGACATGCCTTTTGTCTAGGACTGGGAGAAGCTGAAGCAGGAGAGCTGGAGGGCGAGCTGAGAAAGCTCAGGTCCAGGTGTTGGCTCATCCCAACCAAGCGGAACTTTCAATCAGCAAGGACTGGTGCACACTGCCCTGATGCTTGGAGCCCTCCACCTCCTTCATAGGGTAACAGTAATGTCACTGCTGCTTTACGTCCGCCTCCATATCAGGTGCAAAATTTCCCTTGTGGCCAACACTGACAAGGAACCATGCAGGGGGTAGACTTCTGAGAAACATAGTTCCAGCTCAGCTCTGTTGATGTAGTACAGGGCCACCACAGATGCCTTTGGGCGTTCAGGCTTAATCTTCCCAGATGTGCTCTTCCTTAAGGTTTTAGCATCTGACTTGTTGGCTATTTTTCTCTCCAGACCACTCTTATCATTCGTGACAACCTTGGCCTCTTAGCTGCTTGGCTTCTTTCCCATTCAACTATCAACTGGTAATTTTACCTTACATCTAGTCATTAACATGTTAACCATGTCTCCGGAAAAATCTTTAGTTCAAAATTTCTAATTCAAACATTATTTTGCTGAGCAACATCTCTTGTCTATCCAGTTCACCTGTCTCGGTCTTGTCACCTCTCAGCTTCTAGACTCGACATTGGCCATTGCTGCTTCTGCTGCTGCCTCAGCTCCCTTCTACAGTATCATTCATTCCCATCCACCTATAATGGACTATACTTTCTACCATTTTAAAACAAAACTGCCCCCCAAACAGAAACAAACTCTTCTTAGACCTCAAGTCCTCACCTAATTATCCCATTTCTATGAAAACTTGAAAAAGTTGTTTTTACTCACTTTTTCCATTCTCTATTTAATTCACTATGATGAAGTTTCACCCTGCCATTTTTCTCGCTACGGGTACTAATGACCAAATGGCCACCTCTCAGTCTTCATCTTGCCTGGCCTTTGGGCACCATGGGTCATGATCATCTCTTCTTTTCCAAATGCATTTTTTTTACTTGGCTTCACATCCCCCTGTTTCCCATTGAACCCCCTGGGGGCTCTTTCTCTCTCTAAATTGACCTCTGTAGGTAATCCCATCCAGTGCCTTGGTTCTAAATTACATCTCTAATTTTGATATTTCCCATTCCAGTCATCTTCTGATTTACATGTGTACCTATTCCCTTGGTTGTCCAATCAGCATTGCAAACTTAATGCCCCAAGAGCACTTCTGATTTCCTACCCCTGTCTGTTCCTGGTGTTTCTGTGGCAGGTGGTCTCCACAATTGTTCTCCGTCCATTTCCTCTCTCACACTATATCCATATATCCATGCTGCTCAGATCCATGCTTCTCATATCGAGAGGCTGAGTCTAATTTCCTTCCCCTTAAATGTTGGGCAGGTCATAGTGACTTTGACTAATAGAATACAATGACAATGACTGGCATTCTGTGGCTTCCAGGCTAGGTCACAAGAAGCCTTGCAGCCTCATTTCAACCTGGCCTCTTGGTGTGATTGCTATGGGGAAGCCAGTCCCCATGTAAGAAATCTGACAACCTCAAGACTGCTATGCGGAAAGCCAAGGAAAAGATACACGGAGAGAGAA